ATACAAAAGTTTATATCATTTTATTCTTGTATTATGTGTTAAATGAATAAAACATTATTTTTTTTTCATATCTACAATCACTTTTGTAAATAGAATTAATAAACTATATATCTCACATTGATTAAACTTCGTGTTTATTTTATTATGTCTGAAATTTTATTACTATGAATACTTTTTTATTAAATATTATAAAATTTTTCTTTAAAAAAATTATAAAATTAATAAATAAATTATAATCAATAACTCTATTAAATTATATTTATATATATATTATTTAATAACATAATAATAAGTATGATATAAAAATATTAATTTATATAATAAAATTACAGTATATTAGATTATATAATAAAATATAAAATTTTAGATTAAAAATTAAATAAATTCTTTTAATAAAAAAAATTATTTTAACCTTCATTATAGTCTAATTAAAAGAGAAAAAGATTGAGATTTTGGAAATTGGAATATTATTTACCACCACGTGAAAGAATTTTTTTTAAAAAAATAAATTAAAACTTACCCATAAATCATGAATCAAGGTGATAGCTGTGGAGTCTGAAAAAAGGTTTTCTTTCAGTGCTTCTTAACGGCATGCATGACCAACAACGAAAAGAAATAATATCAATCAATAAATAGGCATGCAAAATTTAGTGGAACAGCGTAATCGTCTCTGTCTAATTATATTTACGATGTGCAGTTATTTTTGGTGTTTTCGACGAAAGAAAAAGGTTTAATGTCTCAATAGGTCTCTATTTTTGTTCAGAATTTGAAATAGGCCCTTTTATTTTTTGGCGTCTCAATTAGGTCATTATTTTTGTTAATTTGATGCAAATAAATCATTTCCGTCAATTTCATCAAACAAAGTTAATGAATGTGTGACGTGGCCTGAGGACAGTATTGACACGTGTAAGGTCACATCACACATTCATTAACGCCGTTTGATGAAATTAACGGAAATGATTTATTTGCATCAAATTAACAAAAATAAGTATCTAATTGAGACGCCAAAAAATAAAAGGACCTATTTCAAATTCTGAACAAAAATAGGGATATATTGAGACATTAAACCAAAGAAAAAGATTTGACTTCCCTTTGTTCTTGTTTTTTTTAAGAATAATTTTATCTTTGTTTTACCGGTTAAAATTAAAACTTAAAATTACGTTGTTATCATGCTAGCACTCATAGAAATGTAATTAAAATTCACCTTTTTTTACTTATTCGCTGTTTTTGTGAATGAAATTTTAATTAAAACAAAATTGAAGTTTAATTAAAATTAAAGGTATTTTTTATACACTTCTCAACTTCTTAGTTAATTCAATATATATTTAAGAATGTATGGATCATAAATGTAACACCATTAAAACTATCATTTTTTTTTAATGTATTTCTAGTAACTTGTTATAGACACCTTTTATTAATAGATGGTTAGATAATCATAGTGGTGTTAGAATAAGTCACAACCAACCAGTACTAGACTCACTGTTATTGTTATTAAAATTTACATAAACAAGAAGCTATAAGGAAAAAATAATTTCATTAAGATTAAAACTCTCTTACACCTACACTGTGTTCGTTTCAAAAGATTTTACTATTCACAATGTTTGTGCGGACGGATTCGTAATCTTATTTGTGTTCGCTTTAAGATATTTAAAAGAATAGATTTGCAGGATTGATGGTTAATTCCATTTTGCTAACATAATTTGAGAGAATTGAATAATATTCATCCTAGAAAAATACTTTTGTTCCTGTAAAATTATACATTCTAATGATATTTATCTTAAAAAATGCATACTACATGATATGATGGATTCAATTCCAATAAAAAAAATAGTTCAATTAAACTGAAAATTTTATTTTTTTAATTTTATTAATAATAATATAATAAAATAGTAGTAATAATAATAATAATAATAATAATAAACTTGCGTAGTCCTCTGCCTCTTCTCTGTTTTCTTTAGCCAAGATGATAAAATTATTTTTAACAGAAATTTTTTATTCAGATTGTTAGTACAATTTAATCTTTTAATTTTGTATTTAAATTCAATAATATTTTTTAAAAATATTAAAGTTAGTTTTATTCAGAAGATTTTTATTTCTTTATGAAAAATTGAAATTAAAGTTAGTTTTATTCAGATTGTTAGTACAATTTAATCTTTTAATTTTGTATTTAAATTCAATAATATTTTTAAAAAATATTAAAGTTAGTTTTATTAAGAAGATTTTTATTTCTTTATGAAAAATTGAAATTACAAAAAGAATTGAAATTCTTATTTAAATATATTGTATTAATTATTTATTAAATATATTGTATTAAACTTAGTTATTTTTTAAAATATAATATATTAATTATTTAATTTTTTTAGTACAACTATTTCAAATAATTTTTTTAAAAATATATATTATTCTTATAAATATTATTTTATTTTTATCACGAAGGTTATTGGAAGATATTAAAATAGAGAACATAATTCTACCAAATGAGTTCGTTTTAAAACTTTTGATTGAGAAACTATTGTCATTCTAAACTGGTTACAAACAAGAGAAACTCAAACACAAACAAATGTTATTTCTAGAGTTTATTACACATATTATCATTGAAGATACCAACCGGAAGGGGCGTACTATTGCAAGGGTTAAATCTTTATATGCAAAATAAAATATGGTAGAAGATACATGTGTTCCAAAAAGGTACGAAAAGGAAAAAATAATTTTCAAAATTCTCCTCTCAAGGGATCTAACCACATTAAAGAAAAAGAAAAATTGTGTTTTATGAGAATTTGTGTCATCATGCACCACAGTGTAGACATGAAGTAAGAAACAACAATCCTCCTCCTAAAATATACAATGAGAAAAGTTGAGATTAATATTGTTAAATCCAACAAAATTGTAAGAAAAAAAATAATGTTCTTCTAGAAAAAAAAAATTGTGATCAATGTCTCTTTATATTTAATATTTATGAAATTTATCACTTAATCAAACCACTAGTATTTTTATGTTTTTTGTTTGGTTTCAAAAAGAAATTCAATACACTAATATACGAAGGACAACACAAACAAAAAAAAAAGATATAATAACAGTTTTTTTCTTGGTGATTCCACAAGACAACTCCTATTCTTAGAAAAGGTTATTATATAGTTAACATCTAGAAAAACTCTGGCTATAAGTGATACGGTTGTGTCCTCTATCAAAGTCAATATAATATCGATAAGACTACATATTAAGAAAAATTAAGATTAAAGTGTCTTTTTGAATTTAACAAAATTATAATAACAACAAATAATGTTTTTGTAGAAAAAAAAATTATGATAAAGATATCATTATACTTGATATTTATGAAATTATCAATAAATCAAATTCTTCCTAGACACATGATAAAGATAACATTATACTTAATATTTATGAAATTATAGATAAATCAAATTCTTCCTAGACACATGATATGTGTGACATGTTACGTTAGCAGATAGTCAACTACTAATCATTTATGTTTATTATGTTGTTGGATCAAAATACATTCTTGAACATCAATTTTGATGTTTTAATAAATATGTCATGTAAAGAAGTTGAGTGAGTGCTGCAAAATTATTTTGAGAAGATAAAAATGGACATGAAAATAAAAATCGATACCCATATACCACACTATTTTCCTCGCATTTTGTAGGACTGAGTAAATGAATTTCAAACATAATGTTTTTATAACATAAAATTATGAAAAGCACAGAAACATAATGTTGCCATAAACTTCCAAACCAAAACGTAAAACAATGGAAACTGATATTTTAAGAAATAATGTGCGGTTCATGAGAAAAACACTTGTCAACACCATCTTCGACTCTGGAGAAGCCTTGAGCAGATCCCCACCCTGTTTCAAACAGAACAACAAAAATATAAAATGAAAAACATGAACCAGAAAACTAAACTTTACACAATTTACCTAACCAATTTATAATATAAAATGATAAATCAGGACTGAAAGAAATGTTATGAAATTTGCATATGATAAAAAAATCCATATTCGCTTGGTTAAATTTGTGAAACCAAAATCTCTTAACAAAAAAAACCCATATTCATAACTCTTAACACATTAAATACTCATTAAAGCTGTCAATTAAAGTTTAACCAACACTGTTTTTTACAGATCTTGACTTGACGACGAGTTTGCGATTTGAATCAAGGTTTTCTTTCATTGCTTGTTGACTATCACAACATAATAAAAATATTAGAATTGTAAAACAAAAATATAAAATATTGACGATTATTTTTTTAAATTACTCGTTTCATCACCTATTTTGGAGAAAAAAAAATTAAAATAAAGCGTGATATCAAGTTAGGACTTAATGCAATTAAAAATTGGTCTTGTTATGATGCTATCACCACCCACATAAATGTAATTAAAATTCAATTTTTTTAAAGGTATTCTTCTGTGTTATTTGCCATAATAAGATCATATCTTAAAATTTTTGTTGAATATATTGTTTCATACTAATATCTAATTTCACATACTATGTATATAAATATGAGATATATCCATTAGATTTATATACATTAGTTTAAAAGGATGTATTAAAAATATTCTATAAGATTAATTTAAATATATAAATAAGTTGAAACATTATCTGCTTTTTAAAATTGAGGTAAAGCTAAAGTTCTTATTTTTAACATATTTAACCGTCTATACACCATAAATAAAACCACAATTCCATCCAATGGTTATTGACTTAAAATAAGATATTACTCTGTGAAACCCTACGGCGAAGAATGATTCTTGAGAAAAACATCAGTTAAAACTGTCTTCGACTGCAGAGAAGCCTTCAGAAGATTCACACCCTATAATATGAAGAAAATAAATTAATGAACCATGATGCATTACTAGTTAACGAAAATAAAAAAAGGAAACTAAAACATATGTGTAAGAGATTCCCCAAACCCTTTACTTTGTGCATATTAAATTAGAAATTAAGATATTTTAAACCTAAAAGAAAAAATGACATCTCCATATTTTATAAACAAAAACATGCCTGGTTCATGTCCAACTCGACCACCCTTTCCTGTAAGGCGCCAACCTCTTTGACGTTGAATTTGTTAAGTAGGGTAAGGCTCGATATGTTTGACATGGGCTGAATTACTAAATCATCCATCACCATGTAAGTTACTACCTCTTTCACAAATCCACTCTTGTCGGCAGAAATATCTTTTGCAACCTTTTCACCAACAAAAGGCACGACAGAGGTCATATGATAAACACAGTTGTTTTCAGGGCAGAGAGTGGTGTTATCACATGTGATGCGACCATAGTGAACTGGGCACCTATACAACAAATTCGAGGAGTTGTTGGAAGAGGTGTCATTAATGGAAGGAAGAAGACCACTGATTCGTGAAGACATGGGGGCACTTGGTTTCAGCAGTAGATCCTTATGCAGGTCTGGTTGCATGTAAGTTTCATCCAGATTCTCGACACTTTGATAGAGATTTGCTAAGCTGCCAACCATTTGATTCTTGTTGAGAATCCTTATGACAGTACCGATGGGCAAGCAGAGCAAGTTAAAGAGAAAGTCTATAACCGCTTTTGATGCTTCTGCGAACAAGACCTTCTCACGCTTAGCGTCGACGAGCAATTTCAGAGTCAATTTGGAGGAAGAAGATGCCATGCTGATAGATGAGGTGTTATGCTCTATTACAGGTCTTAACCTAAATGTGACTTTCGACAGCTATATATATAAATAATGAAATTCATATTTGTGATGAATTTGGAATTTGGATCGAGAGGTAGCCATTACGTTGAGTCAAGGTTTTCTTTCATTGCGTATTAAATACTCCAGAAAGAAAATAAATAAATGAATCGATAAAGTAGTGTGCAAAATTTAATTGGACAGTGTAATCGTTTCTGTCTCTTTATATTTCGTATCTACAATCACTTTTGTAGATAGAATTAATAAACTATATATCCTCACATTGATTAAACTTCATGTTTATTTATTATGTCTGAAATTTTATTACTATGATTACTGTTTTATTAAGTATTATAAATTTTTACTTTAAAAAATTATAAAATTAATAAATAAATTATAATCAATAACTGTGTTAAATTATATATTATATATTTATTTAATAACATAAGTACATATAAAAATATTAATTTAAATATAATAAAATTACAATATATTAGATTTTAAAATAAAATATATAATTTTAGATTAAAAATTAATTAAATTTTTGTAATAAAAATATATATTTTAACCTTCATCCTAGTCTATTTAAAAGAGAAAAAGATTGGAAATTGGAATATTATTTACCACCACGTGAAATAATTTCTTAAAGAAAAACTTTTTCAAAATTAAATTAAAACTTACCATAATTATGAATCGAGGTGATATCTCTGGTGTTGAATCAAGGTTTTCTTTCATTGCTTCTTAACTACTCATGCAAGTGAAACGGCATGCATGGCCAACAACGAAAAGAAATCATATCAATCAATAAATAGGCATGCAAAATTTAGTGGGACAGCGTGATCGTCTCTGCTCTATTTATACTTACGATGTGCAGTTACTTTTCGTGTCTTCGAGGAAAGAAAAAGATTTTACTTCCCTTTGTTTTTTTTTTAACAATAATTTTATATTGTTTTAGCGGTTAAAATTAAAAATTAACTCATTATTTTATTTTAAAATAATTGAGAATGTTTTTTTATAATATTTTAACAATATTAACGTGTCATTTTATGATTGGTTTATGTTGGTGTTTATAATTATAATTATTATTAACCGTGAAATAATTTTGAATCAATCACAAAATGACAAATAAACGATGTTATTAAAATATTGTAAAAGAATGTTGTTAAAGTATCATTATCCTTTATTTTATATTATATAATGTGATATCGTAACACAACAAAATTATTCAAATATAACGAAATACCATAACATAATAAAATTATTAGAATTGTAGAAAAAAATCATAAAATATTGTATGCTCACATTTTTGCGTATTTAACTTTTTTTTTCTTAGAGATTCTGAGTTTTGCTAAAAGGGGTTCAAAAGTTTCCTTTTTCGTATAAAACTAGCAAAGTTAACAAATTTGCCCATGTTATTTGGTATCATACTTACATCCACCCTTGTTAAATATGAAAGATGTAAAATGCTTTTTATTTTCAAAAATAAATAAGAACAAAAGTGCATACACGAAAATAGGAATTGTACTTTCAAAACTACTGTCAAAATCACATATAACCTTATTCAAGTAAAATTTTGTTTTAGATCTTACTGTTTAAATGAAATACAAATAATTAAAAACTCAAATTCACTGCAAACATAATAAGATTCCCTAAATACTTTGTCACATTGAAAGATGAATTTGGGAAAGTGGAACCAAATGAATTCGAGAGAATTTGAGAATAAATTGATTGTTATTTTTTTTAAAGGGATTTGAAGGTGAGTGAAAGTGGATTTAAAAATATATTTTATAAAATTAGTGTAAGATTTGACTACAGATAAAAATATGATTTAATAGACAGAAATTGAAGATTACCAAAATGTTTGAGTAGTAAAAATAATATAAAGCGATAATAGTTAATAATATATATAATTGTAAAAATTATTATAAGGAGAAAATTTTTTTTTTAAATGATTAAAAATTTATATTTACAAGTGAATTAATTATTTTTAAAATATAATATTTTGTAAAAATAAACCTGCATTGGAATCAAATACACCTACTTGGAACTAAATACTTCTATGTTAGAACAGAACTGAATATGCCTTTGTTAGAATCAAATACGTATGCGTTTAAGCCAACAATAATATTCACTCTAATTTATCTTCGCAGATTTCCTTCCACCGTATCATCTTTTAAAACAAACACAACGTTAAATATTACGAAAATATTTATAACAAAAGTATGATTAAAATTGAAAGTTGAATTTTAAATTATGCAATTTAAGTTTATTATTCTTGGAAAAGTAAACTTTTTCTACACTTTTAATTCTTCAGTCTCTTCAAGATTCTAAAAGTAAAACAAAGATTTTCCAATGCCTTGTCTTGGAAAGAAAATTTAACTTCCAAACTAGTTAAAAATTTTGTAGGGCACCAACTTATGAATTTCCCGGGAAAGTTTCTCTTCTTTTCTCCCTGTCTAATTTTCCATTCTATGGTTTAAAATTGATTTTATGATGGTTGATGGTTAGCATATATAATTATGATTAAAGAGATGTCTCAGCTTTATAGAATTAATTGGGTAATCTAACAGTTTTTTTTACAATTTAAAAATGTTACATATATTATACTCAATTTAAAAGGTAATCGATCACAATTCGCGCATATAATTATTTGACTGTTTCCAAGGAAAAAGGAAGAGAATATTTTAGGATAATAATAATAAATATACTGTTTTATATAGTCCAAGACCACAACTCCATATGCATTGGTTATTGACTTAAAATAAAGTATTAGTAACACACTGTAAAACCCTATGCCGAAGAGTGATTCCTGAGAAAAACATCTGTCAAAACCGTCTTCGACTGCAGGGAAGCCTTCAGAAGATTCACGCCCTATAATACGAAGAAAATAAATTAATGAACCATGTTGCATTATTAGTTCACCAAACCCTTTAGTTTGTGCATATTGAATTACAAGTAAATTTAAGATATTTTAAACCTAAGTAGCGATAATTATATCTGCATATTTTATAAACAAAACATGCCTGGTTCATGTCCAACTCGACCACCTTTTCCTGCAAGGAGCCAACCTCTTTGACGTTGAATTTGTTAAGTAGGGTAATGCTTGATATGCTTGACATGGGCTGAATCGCTAAATCATCCATCACCATGTAAGTTACAACCTCTTTCACAAAACCACTCTTCTCGGCAGAAATTTCATTTGCAACCTTTTCACCAACAAAAATCATTTGCGAGTTCATAGATGTCCTACAACTAGGACAACGAGTGGTGTTATCACATGTGACGTGACCATAGTGATTTGGGCACCGGTAGAACACATTCGTGGAGTTGTTGGAAGAAGTGTCATTAACTGAAGGAAGAAGGCCAGAGATTTGTGAAGAAACGGAGGCATTTGGCTTCAACAGTAGATCCTTATTCTGGTCTGGTTGCATGTAGGTTTCATCCAGATTCTCAACACTTTGATAGAGATTTGCTAAGCAGCCAACCATTTGATTCTTGTTGAGAATCCTTATGACAGTACCGATGGGCAAGCAGAGCAAGTTAAGGAGAAAGTCTACCACCGCTTTTGATGCTTCTGCGAACAGAACCTTCTCACGCTTAGCGTCGACGAGCAATTTCAGAGTCAATTTGGAGGAAGAAGATGCCATGCTGATAGATGATGTGTTATGCTCTATTGTATGGGATTGTCGACTGCTATATATAAATAATGAAATTGATATTTGTGGTGAGTTTGAAATTTGGAAAGGTTTTCTTTCATTGCTTATTAACCACTCCAAAAAGAAAGTGAAACGTATGCATGGCCAAGAACAAAGAAAATAAGTAAATGAATCAATAAAGTAGTGTGCAAAATTTAATGGGACAGCGTATCGTTTCTGTCTCTTTATATTTACAACATATGTAGTTGTTTTTCGTATCTACGGTAACGGTGACAAACTAGAAATATATATATGGACAGAAATAATTAAACTCAAATATATACCTGAGATTTTCTTAAAAGTGCTATACTCTTTTTTTTTTTCGGACAGTCAAACTCTCCTCTTACCATTTTGTAAAAAAAAGTTACTCAAACAGATGATTAGACTCTTCATTTCATGGGGTACTTTTACATTAAAGCTTGGCAACCTACAGAGTTTTGGATGAATTACGAATAATAAAAGTTGACAATAAAATATCAATTAACTTAAAATAAAATCTACTTAATCCATCTCTATTTTATATCAATAAAATAAAATAATATTCTCTTAAATAAATAAAAAATCAAAATTACCTGTATCTATTTTATCTTTATCAAAATTAAACTGAATATTACTAAACTCAAAACTAATAAAATAAGATTTTAATAAATTCCTAAAAATTTAAGTTGATGCTCACATTAACATTGATAATAATTTAAGTCCCATGCGGTTTGTTAAAAGAACTCCTCGCATTTATTTCTTTTAAATGAGAACCCTTTTGAGAAAAATACAATTTCTTTAATTTTCATTTTAAATCAGTCAGGTAAAAATGAAAATAAAAACTAATATTATTGCCGCCTCATCAACTGACATAACAACTAAGTTTCACACTTAAACACGATCATAATAGATTGCACCAAAACAAATACAATAATATTAATACCAAATGTGATATAAAGGATCAGTTAATATTTTTAGTATATTATTAACATAACTGGAAATCGAATTTGGTATTGACACGTCATTATTAGTATAGATTTTTTGAAAATTTGTTTTGATTGTAACAGTGACGTATTTGTAATTGATTTTGTTATATTATATTTTTTTTTCTACAGTATTATTTATATATCTGTTTGTAATATGTTTAATTAAGTTTTTAATTAAGTTTTCTAATATGATAATAAATTTTATCACACACATTTTAGTGTTGAATTTTCATGTTAATCTGGTTTGTGTTAAAAAATTGATTTAAACCTTACATTGTCATCTTTTATTTAAGTATAATTTTTATGTTATTTTGCAGCAGACCTCCCATAGGACGATTGGTTCAGCTAGCTTTTTTCACGGATTATATGTGCTAAATCTGTCCCATGAATTCTCATCTCAGTCATTGCTCTGCTTCTGCTCTTACGCTAATACCAAACCAGTGCTTTTCTTTGACAACTTACATGTTTATGATTCTATCATTTGTATTAACAATCATTTCATTCTTACAATATAAAAATAAGTATGGTATAAAAATATTAATTTAAATATAATAAAATTACAATATATTAAATTATTTAATAAAATATATAATTTTATATGTGTACATAAATAATATTATTCATAAGAATTATTAAAATATTATAGTGTTAAGAAGTATATTAAAATTCTCTAAGGTATAGTATCAAAATCGGTCTGTAAGATGAGGCCACATATATATTTTAAATTGATTTTTGTTACTATGAGCTCACAGTTGACCGAACAGTAAAAGTGCAGAAGAGTCGTCCGACCGATGATACCTCTCAAGTCAATGAACCGATCGGTAAAATCAGTCCGACCGATGATACCTCTCAGATCAGTGAATCGATCGGTTAAATCAGTCGTTAAGGTAATTAATAATAATAATTGTTGGGGAGTTAATGAAAATAATTGTCATTTATTGACAATTAATATTGTCATTCATTGATCGTTAATGAGTCAGACCTAACGATAAGCTCATCATAATTTATAACTATTTGTCTGGTAAAGGGTACAGGTAACTTAACTTCAACTGAAACTTAAAGCTCTGATAACTAAATCTTAATTACAATAGTGTCTTTTGCAGGCACATAATAACATGATGAAATTTATCTTAACCCTAATGTGAACCTATTTGAGAAGAAGTTTTAAAGATTCAGACTTTTTACATCCACTCCTAAAATAAAATTTTTTAAAATATAAGTTAAAAGCAAACCAACCATCAATATGACAATTATAGTATTGCTTGTTAACTACTAATTCAAGTGACACGGCATACATGGCCAACAACAAAGAAAAGAAATAATATTAATCAATAAAAAGGTGTGCAAAAATTTAGTGAAACAACGGAATCATCTGTGTCCGTTTATATTTACAATGTACAGTTATTTTTCGGCATCTTAATACCTTAATATTTTTTCATAACAATTTCTTTTTAAAATGACCAAATATTATTATTTTATTGATCCATTTAAATTTATTTTTAAAAGAATATTTAAAACAAACCGATTACAAGTCACCACTGATTAACATGAATAAAATTTTAATTAAAATAAAATATAAATTTAATTAAAAATTAAAGGTATTTTTTGATATACTTATCAATTTCATAGTTAATTCAATATATATTTAAGAATGTACGGATCATAGATGTAACACCATTAAAACTGTCATTATTTTCTTAATGTATGTCTATTAACTTGTTATAGACACCATTTATTAATAGATGGTTAGATAATCATAGTGGTGTTTGAATAAGTAACAACCAACCAGTACTAAATTCACTCTTATTGTTATTAAAAATTACATAAACTAGAAAGTATTAGGACAAAAGTTTTTCTTTAAAATTAAACTCTCTTAAAGCTGGGCATGCACATTATTTCCACCATTGCCATGGACTATCCTTCTGATACAGTATCACAGGATGTGGAAAGGAGGAGCTTTTAGACGATGGAAGGTGAATAGAGATTGTGACAACTTTTTCTTCACTTTTAGGCCTTGTTTTTTTGAGTGAATTTGAGGGAATTTGAGAGGATTTGAAAATCAATTTTTTTGGTCGTTCAGAAATAAATGAGAATGAATTTGGAAATAAATTTTTTTAATTTGTCACGTCAATACAATTTTATACTAATCCTCAAGTTTCTTCAAGATTTAAAAATTAAACAAACTCCTTCGAAAGAATATTCAACATCCAAACTAGTTAAGAAATTTTGTAGGACACCAACTTAAGAGTTTTCCGGATAAGATTCTCTTCTTGATTTTAGAAAATGAAAGAAAAAGGATTTATCCCATAAATTATAAATAAAAAATAATTGACTTCAAATTTATAATACAATATGATGACTTTCAAATTAAAATCCTCGTGAATAAAGATGAAGTCCACGTGAACAACTTTGTAAAACGTTGATGGAAAGTCATTAAAAACATTGACAATTTTCAATTAAACCAAAGTTAAGACGATTTCTTCATAAAAAATTATGAAAAGATAAAGTAATCAGAACTTATGATCACTTCTTTGTAAAAATATTAAAAGAAAAATCATAAAAAATGGTAATAATTTTTAATTAAATCAAACGTGTTTATCAAGTTTTTCCTCCAATGTCGAACTTGACTTCTTGTTAAGTTTATTACCCTATTGGACAATCTTGTTGAGTTTACCACTTAAGCCAATCATCTTACCAAATTCTCTTTTCAAAAAAATTCAATAATATGTAAATTTTAAATTAACTATCCCATTTTTATAATTTACCAATTAAATTACTCATTATTGAAAGTTTTCCTCTTTTCTCTTTCACCACTTTTCTATTCCATGATTTAAAATTGATTTTATGATGGTTGATGTGTCATTTTTTTATACAAATTAAAAATGTTACATATATTATACTCAATTTAAAAGGTAATAACAATTTTTTTGCCATCGCGCTTATAATTATTTGCCTGTTTCCAACAAAAAAGGAAGAGAATATTTTACGATAATAATTATAAAAATACTGTAATTATATAGTCCAAGACTACAATTCATGCATTGGTTATTGACTTAAAATAAGATATTACAACTCTATGGCGCAGAATGATTCTTGAGAAAAACATCTGTCAAAACCGTCTTCGACTGCAGAGAAGCCTTCAGTATATTCACACCCTACAGATTATGAACAAAAGAAATTAATAAACCACGATGATTATTAGTTACATAAAATAAAACAAAAAACAAAAAAACAAAACAATAAAAGAAATTAATGAACCATGATCCATTCAGTAAAAAAAAGAAAACTCCAGCATATATGTAAGAGATTCACGAAACACTTTACTGTGTGCATATTAAATTAGAAGTAAATTCAGATATTTTAAACCTGAAGAGCGATAATGATATCTTCATATTTTAAAAACAAAACATGCCTGCTTCATGTCCAACTCGACCACCTTTTCCTGCAAGACGCCAACCTCTTTGACGTTGAATTTGTTAAGTAAGGTGATGCTTGATATGCTTGACATGGGCTGAATTATCAAATCATCCATCACCATGTAAGTTACTACCTCTTTCACAAAACCACTACTGTCGGCAGAAATTTCATTTGCAACCTTTTCACCAACAAAAATCAATCGCGAGTTCATAGATGTCCTACAAATAGGACAACGAGTGGTGTTATCAGATGTGACGTGACCAGAGTGACTTGGGCACCGGTAGAACACATTCGTGGAGTTGTTGGAAGAAGTGTCATTAACTGAAGGAAGAAGGCCAGCGATTTGTGAAGAAACGGAGGCACTTGGTTTCAACAGTAGATCCTTATGCAGGTCTGGTTGCATGTAAGTTTCATCCAGATTTTCAACACTTTGATAGACATTGGCTAAGCAGCCAACCATTTTCTTCTTGTTTAGAATCCTTATGACAGTACCGATGGGCAAGCAGAGCAAGTTAAATAGAAAGTCTATAACCGCTTTTGATGTTTCTGCGAACAGGACCTTCTCACGCTTAGCGTCGATAAGCAATTTCAGAGTCAATTTGGAGGAAGAAGATGCCATGCTTATTACACGTCTTAACCTAAATGTGACTTTCGACAGCTATATATAAATAATGAAATTCATATTTGTGGTGAGTTTGGAATTTGGAAAGGTTTTCTTTCATTGCTTATTAACCACTCCAGAAAGAAAGTGAAACGTATGCATGGCCAAGAACGAAGAAAATAAATAAATGAATAGATAACGTATAGTGTGCAAAATTTAATGGGACAGCATAATCGTTTCTGTCTCTTTATATTTACAACGTGTAGTTGTTTTTCGCATCTACAATCATTTTTTCGTAACCTTTTGGGTTGTTTATATGATCATTTAGAATTAGAGTTTTGAAAAACGTATTATTAACGAATATTAGAATTTTCTTTACTCACACAAAAAAAAGTATATATCTTAAGTTAGTATTTTATTAGGGACGATATGATTTTCTCATTAACTAATGGGTTAAAAGAATATTTTAATACGAAATTAGCGGCATTGTATATATTTTTTACATGGTGTAAAGGATCAAACGTCCATATATGTAAGTATCCATCACTACAAAAATAATATATTATAATAGGGGTTACGGGTTATTTTAGGGTGGTTTTAAAAACCTGCCTTAACTTCCTGCAGTTTACTAAAAAACCGTAACTAAGTTTTATTTTTTTAAAAAATAAACTTTCATCGGTTTTTTAGACATAGCCGCAGTTAAGATTTTTATTTATTTTTTAAAAAATTTAGTTTCAGCGGTTATTTAAACTATATTATTATTACTATATTTAAACTAATTCCTCATTCATAATTTATTTCGACTTAATTTTTATTAACTTCATTTTATTTTGATATAATTTCTTCATTTTACTAATTATATTTTAATAAAAATTAAATCGAAATAAATTATGAATGAGGAATTAGTTTAAATCGAAAAAAAACTTTTTCCTTTAAGATGATCTTCTTCTTCGGGATCCTCCACTCAGCTGCCGTCACACTTTGTCTCCTTCCGCCAAGCGCAACTGCTGGAAGCTTCATCGTCACCACCACCCGCTGTTGTTAAATTGTTTTGCTTTTTACCGAAGGAAATACTCTTGCCACTCGCAAATCCATCGGTTAAATGACCAGAAACAAACACAGGCATGCTCTGATCACTGTGATCTTCCATACTCATCTGTCAAATTTCTCACCAACACCATTGGTTCAAATGCTACGATGCCATGTTAAATTTTAGAAATGGAAATCAACATCACTGAAATCAGTCATAACCACAAAATTTGCATTTGGAAACAGATAAACAGGTGAACAGGTATTGTTTATTGAATTGGACAATAACTTACACTATGAATGCTGTCAATGAACCACAAATATCTATCATTCACTAACCCCTAGCTAGATAAACATGATTTTACATTCACAGTAGTCTAGACATGCACAGATGAATAACTTTACTGCACCAAGCATGAGCCTGGACCATCAGGAGGAGTTCTGGCATAATAATTTGTGACAGGAGCAGCTGCAACCCCACGTCTATTCAAGAGACATCTGAAGTATTGCAACCTTTTCAGTGCTGTTCCTTTAGCATGTTTTCCTGAAGTAAAATCTCTAGGACTCCATAATCGTTCTGTCGGAAACAAGCAATGGTGAATACATGAGTCCTTTACATGCCTGATTATAGTTTATAAATATGCCTTTACATGTTTCTAAAGCATAGCTGTGTCAATTCATAGGGGATGATTATGCTTCAATACTAAAACTGGAAAAAAGAACAATACAAGAATGGTGAACAACTTTGCATTAGTAATGAAGCAAACCTGCTGCTGCTGCTGCTCGAGGCCATATTGTTTGCTGAACGTCTGATGTATCAGCTGTCTCGCCCCACATACAGACTTCTCCTCCAATTACTAGTTTTTTCTCTGAAGCTTTCTGAATTCCTTCAAGTGGATCAGCATCATAGACAACTTCCCAAGGTACATTTAGATGGTCGAGATACCATACACCTTGGTTACTGAAAATACACCTGAAACCTTTTGCAACAGCCTTTGGACAAACCCCAGGGCCCAACCTACAGTATTTACTTGGAATTCTTATTTCTGAAACTGAGATCATCAAGTTTCATATAAAAACAAAATTTTACTTAGGCAGAAATTCACCAGTTATGCACTACAGTCCGCGGATGGAGCTTAGATGGAAAAGTATTGAAGGTTTCTTCCCTGAGAAGTTCAATAAAAAAAGGTCAATCTTAAAAACATGCTAACAGTTTAAGAACTATTGGAATTTGAAGTAATGTTTCAAAACTAGGGTCATCAAGGATAAATTAAGGGTATAAATGCTATTTTGTATTATGAATACACAAATCATACCAGTTTACCGGACTCCAATTTTTTGTGAGTGCTATGTTTTGAGCCTTTAGTACAAAATATTCATAGGCATCTTCAGCAGTCATGTTCTTGTTCTTTAGCCTGCATTGGAGATATAATCACAACTGAACAATGTGCTCGATTGATTGACAATCTATCAAAATCATGGATCACCACGCTTAATTTTCTGGAAGTTTGACCATCGTCTTAATTCACAACTAAAAGCTGAGTGGCTGAGAAAAAAAAATGAAGGTAGAATGTCTTCTGAAATACTTTTTCTCGGCCTCAGATTCAAAGAGGGGAAAAAACATCCACAAGTTCATATTTTGAGTTTCCATAGCACGATAACTCAATGTCTTTACCGGCCTAGGCCACAGAAATCACCGTATATAATGTAATGAATGTGTACAACAGGTTAAGATTTGTACCATTTATTCACTGCAGAAGTATTAGTCCAGCAATCTGTCAAAATAAATTACAATTACTTATCAAGTTAGCGTTGATACAAAATAGCTCAAAAGTAACACCAAACCAAAATCTACTTTATATTATGATTATTATAAAATGTTCAGAAGTCAGTACTACCTCACAAGGTGATACACGTTTTAAAAATATAATGGGCAAACCATGATAGTTCGTGTGCTTCTACTGTTTTTACTTTTTTATCCAACTAAAATAAAAACTTTGCCTCAATAACTTATTCAACAAGAGTGAACAACAAAAGGTTGGTGCCAGTTATAGACAAAACGCCAATTTTGAGCTTTTATGTCAAGCTGCGAGAAGAAAGAATTGCACACTGACCTGTATTCACTTCATCACCACCCAAGTGAAATAGTTCAAATGGGAATATTTTTCTCATATCTGCAATATTTAGAAAAGGAGAATGAAAGAAAGTTATTTTTTTTAGATCAGATTACATACTAGGGAAAGATATGAGCATAACTTGGTATTGTCAAAGGGTGGTTTTGACAAACTCCATAATACTGATACTTTTGCAAGATTCAAGGTAGAATGGAAGAAGATATAAGCTAAATAAAGGGATGCATGTTTTATAGAGACTTAACCTGTAAGAATACCAGACAGGACATCGAAAGTAAACTTCTTCGAAACATCTAGTGGCTGCTTACAGAAGGGTGATGGCCAAAGATCAGGATATCCAACACCCCTAAACAGAAATGAAGAACAGAGAAAAGTTAATTTATTTCTGCTCTAGAAAATTTGTCATATGTTAAATTTTTGGAGCATCCAATTGAAGTTCAAATTCGTAAAATGATTAGATCAATGCCAAAATAAAACTTTTCAAAAGCAATGTCTAATGTCAAGACATAGGAATCCATTCGGAGCAAATTTTCATGACACAGCTGCATCCAATCCATAGCAAGAAAGCTTTAACTTTCTTTGGAAAACATAAGTATTTCTTGAAAGAAATATCTATGTAAATAGATAAAGTAAAAGAAACTCTGAGGTTTTCATGCAGCACCATTTTCAAGACGTTATTATAAGTTTATAAATCTACCAGATTATCATCCCAGGAAAAAAAGTATGAACATCACACAAACTCTGTACCATGATGCTGCATGACCAGGGACATCCACTTCCGCCATCACATTTATGCCTGTGATAAACCCAGAAGATATTCATTATCTTGCTCGGTACTGAGAAAAAAGATGGGAGGCACAAAAGGAAAAGGAAAAACCCAAAAAATATAAAATCACCACCTATAATTCAAAATGCTCTGAATAATATGAAGCAGAAACTTGAAAAGGATTTGAAGATACGTTACCTCTCATTTTGGAAAAGCTTTACATCGAGGCAAAGTGAAAACACGAAAAGAGAATACAGTATTAGTCCGGGTTAGATTAAGAAAGCCAACTCAAAGATGAACTGGAAAGTAACAATTTAATAAAAAGCATAGATCAATTGATCAACATTTCTTTAGTATTATTTTGAAGAAGTAGCCAATAAACTTTGCATGATTTAAAAAAATTAAAGATGGTACATTTGTAGGAGATGGAAATAAGGCGAGTCTTACTTGACTATATCATGTGCATCCTCTATTGTATAACGTTCCCACTCTGAGTATGAACCTTTCCACAACTTTGGATAAGAAGGCACTTCAAGAGGAAATGATTGTTCGTCTATGATGTGCCAATGTAGAACATTCTACCGTGTTCAAGTTTTTTACATAAGCATTACATGAAACAAAGTAGCATGGTGTGCTAGTTAGGAATTACGATACACTTGTTTTCTTTCTAACTGTCATAAACAGCGGAATGGTAAGGAAAGTAAACTTATTATGACTTTTATCTTACAAGTTTAGCGTAAGACATAGCTTCAATTATCTGCTTAATCACGTTAACTGGTAAATAATGTCTTGATGTATCTACAAAATAAAAAAAAAAAAGAATAAAAAAACAACATAAGTGTTAATAGAGCCTTAAAAGACAGAACATAAACACGTATTGCTCTCATCGGAAAAATCTTGACTCACCCAACAGAAGCCCACGGTATTGAAATCTAGGTTTATCTCGGATAGACCATGGTACCTTGCTTATTTGTAGTTTTTTAGTTGTATAATCAAAAGAACACAACTGGCTGAATGTCTGGTGCATCACAGATTAAATCAGAAAAAGATATTAAGGATAGGTCATACACAACATAACAAGTTCAGGAAGT